CTTGGCCTGCTGTGTTCATCCAGCTCTGCACCTTGTTGTCTCGGATTCTCCAGCATCTGCAGTTCCTACTATCTCTGATTCATATTTTTGGTTTACATGGTTTGGGATCTAGGAAATGCAATTAACAAACTGAGTTATCGAAGATTCTGCATTCTGTGAACATTTGCCTGCTAATAATCATTATTGTTACTTGGGCATAGTGGCAGATTTTGGGAACATTGTATTAAGCATGGGTTAATGACTGAAGTTAATTTAAACAGTTTAGAGGTGTAATGCGCTTATTTTCAGATTTTGAATGGCCAGCTTAAACCAGGAGGATGTAGTCAGCTGGAGGATTTCTGTTTAATGGGCATACTGTTTTAACATCAAAGAATTTGCATCCTTTTAATTTAGAGTCTGAAAATTTAACATACCCTTTGTGATTTAAATAATAAATTGCTGGGTGAGTATTGTGGCTGCAAAGAGCAGTTGTTGTGCTCTGGAAATAATCTGCCATATGTTAACTGATAAAAAAATGAAATGTTATATTTCTTTTACTCAATATTAATGTTGCTATAATTAGCATTGTGTATTCTTGCTGCTCACTTGACAAAAAATATAGCATGTGTTGATTTTTCAAAGCATGTTGAACTTAGCTGGAAACTGTACATAACTTAGTGTTATGAATCAGAACAAACTCCCCCAAAATATTAAGATGGTACTAGACACCCTAACTCTTTGTTATTTTAAAGGTAAGTAAGTGTAAGGCATTGCATTCCAAATGCAATGATACAGCATGGAAACAGACCCTTTTGGTCCAACCAGTCCAGGCTCACCATAATCCCAAACTAAACTGGTCCCACCTGCCTGCGCTTGCCTGTATTCCTTCAAACATTGCTTATTCATGTGCTCATCCAAATGTCTTTTAAACGTTGTATCTGCATCCAGCACTTCGTCTGGAAGTTCATTCCACACATGAACCACACTCTGTGTTTAACAAAAACGTTGTCCCTCGTGTTTTTAAATGCTTCTCCTTTCACATTAAAAATATGCCCCCTAGTCTTGAACTCCCCACACTTGGGAAAAGACCCTTGATATTCATCTTGTCTATGCCCAGCATGATTTTATAAACCTCTATTAAGGTCACCTCTCAACCTCCCACGCACCACTGAAAAAGGTCCCAGCCTATTTTTTTAATAACTTAAATCCTCCATTCCTGGCAACATCCTGGTAAATCTCTTCTGGACCCTCTCCAGCTTAATAATGTCCTTCCTATAACACGATGACCAGAAATGCGCACAGTACTCTCGAAGAGGCCTCACCAACATCCTGTAGAACCTCAACATGACGTCCCAACTCCTATAACCAAAGGTCTGAGCAATGAAGGCAACCATTCTAAATGACTTTGTAACCACACTATCTATATGTGATGCAAACTTCAAAGAATTATGTACCTGAACCCCTAGCTCTCACTCTTTTCTACAACACTGCCGGAGGCCCTACTTTTAACTGTACAAGTCCTGCCCTTATTTATTTGTTTTACCAAAATGCATTACTTCGCATTTATCCAAACTAAATGCCATCTGCCAGTTCTCATCAGCCCATTGACCCAACTGATCAAGATCTTTTTATAAGCTCATAACTTCTTTTTCACCCCACTGTCCACTACACCACCAATTTTAGTGTCATCTGCAAACTTACTAACCATGCTTCCTATATTCTCATCCAAATCATTTACACAATGACAAACAGTGGACCCGGCACCGATCCCTGTGGAACACCGGCCTCCATCTGAAAAACATCCCTCTGTCTCTTGCCATTAAGCCAATTTTGTATCCAATTGGCAAGCTCACCTGAATCCCATGTGATCTGATTTTACTAATCAGTCTAACACACAGAACCTTATCAAAGGCTTGACTAAAGTCCAAGTAAACAAGGTCTGCCACTCTGCCCTAGTCAATCTTGGTACGATTGGTCAAACTACGCAACATTAAGCAAAACACACCTTGTATTTTTAACTGTAGTGTAAAAGTAAAAATAAAATGGCTTATTTGTAACAATTGAAATGCTTAATAAAATAATAGATATATTAACTAGTTAACAGTTCCAATATAGTAATGTCCCATGAACATACCCTTGGCAAAGGCAAATTCAGTAAAATAGATTGACACACAATTCTAGAGAACC